GATGAAAATGTTCTCTAAGGGGATCTTTAACTCTGGTGACTCACTGTGACTCCCGCAGTGTCATAACTAATAAACAATCCCTTTGTAGTCGTCATTTGCATTCTACCCTGTGCGACTACCGCTGGATCCTAATAAAAACCACAATCGCCCTAAGCAGACCTGCCAAAAGAGCACAGAGTCGATTCAAAATCTTTCTAATAAACTGCATAATTCATCAGTTTCAGATATGACTGTGTTAGGTCTGCTGGGACAATTTGATTTATGGAGCACAAAACCCATAGTAAAGAAACTGAAGATAAAAAGGTGGTGGCCAGTTCTGAAAAGCTCTCCTAGCAGTTTGAACAGATTTATACATAACATGCTAAATAATATTTGGATGGATGGACAGATGGACGGACGGATGGATGGAATGATGGATGGATGGATGGAGTTTCTCGCTTTAGAAGTCTTGGATTAAAATGCATTAGTCACATTGACAGTCACAAGTCACTATCCACTCTCAATGTATAGAAAAGAGCAGCGTTCAACATTTGTTCATTAGGTAACATTTCTTTGTGTATTCCACAAGAAAAATCCATAGTTTGCATAAAAAAAATATATTATTTGTGATGTCATATGGTATGACTGTTTTCCAGTTAAGCCCATAACAGTCAACCAGTAAATATTTTGTTACACCATTTACACCACTGTATATCCACCACGATTTACAAACTCCAACACATAACAGAAAACTATAGCCTACTTTGAAAACAGATGGGCTATTCCAGTGTAGACAGCAAAGATGACTGTAATAGGAGTGATTTCATTTCAACACGTCACGCCATGTCTCACATGTCCAGTGTAAATACTGCATGACTGAAGATTGTTTACGGTTGCTATGCAATGTCGCAACTCGACACACTAATATAGTATTCAACTGTATGTTCATCCAGACACATTAATACTGTATAAATAAAATGACTGTTTTGAGGTTTTGTTTTTTAAACTCAAGTGAGCTAAATCAGTAACATACTCTCTATGGAGGGTCAGAAAGCTCTCAGATTTCATCAAAAATACCTTAATTTGTGTTCCAAAGATGAACTAACGTCTTACAGGTTTGGAACGACATGACGTTGAGTAATTAATGACAGAATTTTCATTTTTGGGTGAACTATCCCTTTAACAGTACTTCTGGAAAATTGTCAGGTTTTATAGTATTTCCTGTTAAGATAATGTACACATGCATCACCACAATGCCTCTAGACAAATACATTTCCGCTGAAGCACAATCCAATTTTTTATTGTTTGACTGTTTCTTCTTAGAGTTCCTGTGAAGAACTTGATAAAAAGCAGAAAGCACTGTAAACCCCAAATCCCCTTGATAAAACGGGGATATCTACCACGATCACTGAAGAAGAAAAACAACAAAACCATATTTTATCTCATCCTAACTGACTCCAACAACACAAAGTTTACAAATTTCTTGAATATCCAAACAGACTAAAGCAAAAACCCATATACCCTCCACATGAGGTTTACAAAGGGAAAACAGATAAGCTCCCACTGTGGGTGAGGAATATCTTTCCAAGGTCACATATGAACCGTCAGCCTACTCCACAGGCACTCGTTTTCACTAAACAGCGTTAACATTCCCAAGACATACTCCTTCCCTTTGTATTTTGCAGGAGGGGGAGCATCCAAAAAGATAGCGCAGGAATGGCGCAGGGGAAAAGGCCATTAGCAATTCAATGGGAGTAAACGCAAAGTGGGAAGGCCCCGCCATCATTGATTTTCAGGGAAGCCGATTTAGAAGTAGGGTCATGTAAACGGCCTGATAAACCCAAATCAGCTGAGATGATACCAAACACGAGAGAGGGAGAGACACGATTCTATTAAGAATTCTTTTTTGTAAAGCAACAGCATACACACACACAAAAACAAAAGAAAATTTCCACTAAATCTCACATTATGTATTGTTCACGATCACTGTAATGGATATGATGGTGTAAATTATATTCTTTACATTTTTGAAATAAAATAGTGACTCCCTTATCTTGGAAAGAGTAATTAGCATTTTTTTTAGTATCCTAAACATACACAATAAATTTTTTTTATAATAATATAAATATATTATATTATATATAAATATATTATTTAATATATTATAGAGTTTTTGCATATTTTGCACAAAACTAGAGACTTATTGTAAATGCTGCACAAACGTTTTTCCATTCATTCATTCATTGTGATGGAAATGACTCCTGAAAAGTAATTAGAAAATATTTATGAATATTTCAATATTAATGAATATTTCTTTCTTTATAAAGTATTTAAAATGTAGAAATTTGATGACGGATTTTTAGTCTGGGTTTGGGAAAGAGGTAAAACAAAATCAAAGAGAGTTTCAAAAAATGGCATGAAGGCAAAGTGAAGTTTCCAATCAGACTTGAGTCTCTCAACAATACACATTTATTCATTTAGCAGAAACTTGTGACTTACAATTGAGAAAGACTAATGTAACTTTTTTTTTTTGGAAAGTGGTAAATCTCAAGAGTGAAGGACTACATCTTGTTCAGTTGGTTGTGTGTCCAATGACCCAGATAGGACTCCAACCCACAATCCTCAACCCCTGAATCCTGATGCTACACTTTAACAGTAGCAGTTCTTGGACTGTTTCAACACATGATAAAAATAATAAATGCAGTTTAGCAAGTCAAAAAACAGACCCATTTAGTAACTTTGTGATCCATTAGACTTTCAGAGTCTTTTTAATGGATTCAAGAAATCACATTCAATAATCATATGTCCAGTCTGAAAGCTCACAGTCTGGAGTCCATTTCTATTGCATTGTGCTATAAATGGAGTACTTTACTGTTGTCTCTACACTAGAGAAAAAATAAAGTCATGAGTCATTCACTGAAGACACAAGAGCCAACAACGGGACCAAATGTAAATAGAAGCATTTGTTCCAGCATTATTAATTTATTATTATTATTATTTTTGGATCCCCATTAGCTATGCCCTAAAGCATTGCTAGTCTGCCTGGGGTCCACACAACACTTAACATTCATACATTACAAACATTAAAAAAAATTAAGAAAAAAGAAAATAAAAAGTTAAATACAATCTCCACATTCCAAAGCATCTCTATAAACATTTCTTCCACCCTTTTTAATATCTACAGGTGAATCTCAATAAATTAGAATGTCGTGGAAATGTTCATTTATTTCAGTAATTCAGAACTGAGGTAGTAATTAAAGTAAAAGGAGCCCCTACCAAGTATTGAGTACATGTACAGTAAATGAACATACTTTCCAGAAGGCCAACAATTCACTAAAAATGTTTTTTTTATTGGTCTTATGAAGTATTCTAATTTGTTGAGATAGTGAATTGGTGGGTTTTTGTTAAATGTGAGCCAAAATCATCACAATTAAAAGAAACAAAGACTTAAACTACTTCAGTCTGTGTGCATTGAATTTATTACAATTTGAGTTGAATTACTGAAATAAATGAACTTTTCCACGACATTCTAATTTATTGAGATGCACCTGTATAATACCTACTATATAAAAAAATGTATTGCTCATTCAATTAATTCCTATACCTCAACCTCCTATAAGTACAGAATTCCATGGTGTGCCTTAACCTGCCTTTTAAAATAAATTTTTCGTGTTATCCGAATTAATGACAATGGTAAATGATTCCATGATTTCATTGCCCTAAATGTTACTGTATGTTCTTTTTCTTTCTAGTATTCTTTTCTTTTCTATTCTATTTCTTTTTAGTATTAATTTTATAACAGAACTGGTTCTGAATCAAATTTGGTTCTCGTTTTTCAACTCTCAGCAGCATACCTAATATAGGAAACCAGTAGTATGGTTTTAGCTGGTTATCTAAGCTGGTCAAAGGCTGTTTATTTCAGCAGGGGAGAGTGAGAGACACCCATGAAGCCACAATGAAAGCAGATTGGATACGGCCACTAAGTAAATGACATTCTGTTTGTTGCAGCATTGACCCTGCTCTCTGCGGTCATTAATTTCAATCAGGCGCCCAACATGGAACCTGGACCTCTGTTTGCCACGGCTCAGGAGAGGCAAATAAGAGATGGCAGTTTCTCAGGATATTGTCACAGTTTCCAGCTCAACACAGACAAAAATAAAGTTTAAAAAAACTCCCCTAATCTTGAAGATATTTGGTCCAAAAACTGGAATAGGAATATGGCTGTATTAACATCAACATGTCTCCTCTTAGGCAATGCTAGGTCTTGCAGACAAACTAAAGTATAGGTTTGAGATTAGTGTTTTTTTTCTCCAGTGAGCAATGCTGTGGTATAGTGCAATTTAATGATGCAACTGAAAAATAAAAATGTAATTGGTATTAAATAATTATTTACTTCACACTATATACACTCAAAAATGAAAAAAAGAGAGGAAAAAGAAAAGAAAATGGATCCTCACTGCGAAATAACTCGATAAGTGTAACACTGTTAAAAACATTTAAAACACATGCAGCCAAGTAGATTCTGACAGCATTTTCTTTTTTGTGTGAAATGTCCCTTTCATCTTTGAGTCCTATTTAATACTCTGTCACACAACGATGGTTGCATCAATATTGCAGACCATAGACAACAAAAGATTATTTTTTTTGCCTGGCAAGAGAGGTGTGATATGTCAGTTCATAATAACTGGAACCATGTTTGCTACCACAAAGTGTCATTCAATGTATTTTGAGGCATTTGTTTTTACTGTATGCAAGGAAAAAAGCAGGATAGGGGCAGAGGCAACCCTTCCTCCCACCCCATAGAAAATCAGTAAAATGTTGTTTTAACTGTGATTGAGTTTTATATACTTTTCTAATTAACTATTGGGCTAATATTTTCCTTATTCATCTTTCAGTTAGTCAGAACAGGTTAATCATTCTCATCAGTTCAAACCAAATACCTGATTCTTTTTGTTTTTGCTTCTTTGACAAGACCAAAATGTTTCCAAATTCAACATGCCATAAAAGCAACATCTTGCTAGTCAACTCAACTCTATGGAAATTAAGGGGTTCTTTATCACAGTGAACAGGTCAAAATATGTTATTCGTAGTGTAAGTGATGCAGCAGTGCTCCCTAGTGTTTGAGTGGGGAATCTACTACATGATATCAGGTTAAACTTTTTTTGTGGTATACGGACCAGGCTGGCTGTGAGAGAGGGTGCAGATTTGCCAAGGGTCTGTGAGCGCATGCGCACCAGGTTGGTGGTCTCTGAGCCTGTAGCTGACCATGTCTGTTGGGTTGAGGCATATGGCAGCAGGTACTTCCCTGGGGGGAAAAATAAAAGATGCCTGTGAGTAAAAAAACAAAAGAGAAGCCACATTTTATTTTACTTACATTTAAACATTACATTACATCTATAAGTAAAAAGTACTGTAGAAGCATACTAAACAAAACAGGTTCTTAAAAGTTAATGTTAACTAATGTAATCTGTTCAGACAAGATCAGAGAGGATTCTGGCATCTACAGACATGTGATTGGCAAAGAGAAAAAGTAATACTGTCCAGTGAAAAACATGATTTGTGTGAATAATGCACACTCCACTGTTTGTGTGCACTTTTACACTCCACTGTGCTGCTTTCTGTATGGCAGGCACAAAAACATTTGGACATTTAGGGGCTGTTCACACAGTGTGTTTTTAAACTCCACTGTGCTGCTTTGCCATTATTTTTCTGTGTAAACAATGCGCTACACAGATGTGTTTGATTGTTGCACCTTTTGTGTCTCATGCATGAAACAATGTACTAAAAACGAAGACCTTAAATTAAAATAAGCTCACTACCCTGCATCTTGCATTTTTAAACACAAAAATTGCCAAATTACTCATCCTCATGCTGTTCCAAACTTATATGACTGACTTTCTTTGTGCACCACAAAAGATATTTTGAAAAATGTCTCAGTGCTTCTTTCTTAGTCTAAACCGGGTGTGCCTCACACGTCCTGAAAACTGAAGCTGCGGGCTCTTTGATCGCCCCCCCCCCCCCCCCCCCAAACACACACATTCACAGCAAAGACATTCT